CGTATGGACCCATTGCACATGACGTCACAGCGCCTGTGACAATGCATCTGGAGGACAAATTCTACGCATAATATAACTTTTGTAAACAAAGCAAATTTTGGCAATTGATTTTTTGCGCTGTATGGCAGGGATATTTTCAAGCACTTTAGGCTAATACCGTTTTTCAGAAGAAGATCGAGTTTCTTTTGGGGGAGGACGACGTTAAAAAATTTTGTGTTCGGGGGCGCACATTCCAAAATATTTTGGAGGGGTGTAAAGTATTTCGGGACCAACTTTTTACGTGTTTACATTTTGGAAGTGGGAGTTGCACGAGGCGCCAACATGGTTGGGGCCGAGCGGAAAAATTTTGAAACTTTGAAGTCTCTAGATCGTCGGAAATGGGATTTTCAAAGTCTAGTTTGGCCATCAGCTAGCTGTAGAGCACAGAAAGAAAGTTGATAATGGAACATTTGCATTAAAAAAAAAATCAAATGGTGAAAAAAAATCATTGTGGAGGGAGATTGAGTTTCAAAACTCAATTGAAGATTTAGTATTTACTACCGTATACCGGTAGTAGAAAAGTGCTTGAAAATATCCCTGTTAAATAATGCATGTGGTTGTTGTACCCGAACAAATATTGTTAGGGAGCATCTGGAGGACACTCTAAGAATCTATGGGTCTGTATAATCTATTATATAATTATAAATATAATCTAATATATAATCGATTAATGGGTCTATATAATCTTTCGCTCGAAATTTCCATCGACAAAATCTTTCAACTGTTAGTTCTGCCGAGCAAGATGCTCAAAAATCTCGATATTTACTAAAGATACATCAAGAATACAACAAACGCCTAAGCCAATCACAAAAGTGGCGCCAATCAACTAACTCGCCATCCCTTGGGAAAAAATGTTAACCGCTTCATATTGGAAAATTCTACATCATTACATGCAGATATAGTTCGAAGAAAGACCTCACAGTTCTGGAACCTCTGACTGTAGTCTATATACAAACTACAGTACAGCCCTAATGAAAGTTAACATCGTGTAACGAGCGAGTTGCGAGTTCGAGCGAGAGGCTATCGAGCGCGATTTGACCCCTAACGAGAAATCTGCGAGTTGCGAGTATGCGAGCGCGAAGCGAGCGAGCGTTCTCGAAAAATTTGATATCGAGCGAGTGTTCTCGAAAATTAGCGAGCGAGTGTTCTCGAAGACTTTAATTAGATATCGAGCAAGGGTTCTCGAAAATTGTTTGTATCGTGCGAAATCGAGCGAGAGTTTGACCAACATGTGGCAAAATATAGGATGATAATTGCTGTTTCCTTGCATGGCAAACGTCACGTATTTTGACATATATTTATACCAATTCCCTAAAAATATAACTATGATACGGTGATAGCGGTTATATTATTTCGTTACTCACCTTTACCCAACCACAAGATAAACAAAATTCCCTGGTTAAATCAGCGTCTGTTTATTCTCAAGTGTTACATGTTAGTGTCAGTAAAAACACGCTCTTTCTATTATATACTTTATTAGAATTAGCGGTTCAACCTACTCGTTAGAAATAGAAAATAAGACTATTTCCAAAATTTTACGGTGTGACTCATATACACTAAAAGCAATCTATATAATTATAGCCTTAGGCTATAAATAATGTTAGTTCACTTCGGTTGATTGCATTTAGTGACGGATAACTGTATTCATGCACCATCTTTACAACCACAATAACAGGAACTCCACCGACAACTTATTGTCTTGTATGGATTATCGAAAACAAAAGAGCGTTACAGATGATGTCAGTGAAAAACATGCTGTCTGATTTATACTGAGATCTGAAGCGTCTTAGGCTCATTACTATTTTGATGTCTGTCGGTGAGCCTGCTCTGAGAGATATTATAGAAATAAGAACGCGATGTCTTCAAGAAACTTGATAAAGTTTTACTTAGTTAGTTAGTTTGCTTTTATGCTGACAAGACACTGTTAGTGGTGTCGCGTATGTGTCGCGTGAGAAGTTACTGAGCGCAAATGAGGTAGTCATCGCGGTCAAAGGAAGTGACGTCCAAGTGATGCTGAATGGAAAGGCATGGAAAGCGAAGTTGATATTTTTTGTAGGTAAAATAATACTTATTATTCGTAGATTGTATTTCGTCGTCTTTATTTCAAAATATTGATTGTGGATTTTAATGTTTCTGGATTTTAATGTTGTCCTTAAAGATCAGTCAAGAATTGACTCTGTATTGTTATTTTCAGTTTACTCCGTGTTTTCGCACAGATATGCGAAGCAACGTTATTTCTTGCGAAAAATTTTACACGCATTATAACGCTGCGAGAATTCTCGTGAATGGATGCATTGAGATTTCTTGTTACGAGATTCTCGAGAATGTTTGCATCGAGATTTCTCGCAAAATTCTTGTGTATCGAGTAACGCGAAGCGCGTTTCGAGAAGCCTATCGAGCGAGCGAGAATTTTTATCGAGTGGGTTTCGAGATCTCGATACTCGAAACATTTTCCTCGATAGCATCGAGCGAGAATGATTAACTTTCATTAGGGCCGTACTGTAGTATTCAAAACTCTGAAACCCTATTCAAATAACTGCATGTAGATAAGTTTATCGAATCTCAAAGAATATGCCCACAAAGTTGTTTATTTAAGCAAACCAATTGCAATTCTGAATAAAAATAGCGAGTAATTGAGATTATGTTTTTATGGGTAGTGTTTCCACTATTCCGAATCCCAGTTTCTTTTAAATTTTCACGAAGGAAATATGCAAGATTATTTTGTTCTCTAATTTGAACCCTGTTACATGTGAAACCAAGACTACATGCAAATTGAATTATTTCA